ATTTGTTTATTTTTTCCCGTGTTCAGTCATTGTTTGGTGAGACGTATTATGTGTTGATGTATTTAGAAAAAGACAGTTGATAAGAATTCAGTGGTTGTTTTGGCCATCTCGAAAACAAAAGGTTACTGAATGCAAAAAAAACTGTGAACCCATTGGTTCTGTTCAACAGAATTTGTGTGTTTGTGATAAAGTCGAGGGATGGACAATAATGGTCTTGATCAGTTGTTAGTAGTTTCTGATTCTGATGTGATATTTATTGTAGATTTCATTTACTTGTTTTTTTTTTTTTTTTTTTAAGCGGAGGAGGTGTGAAAGAAATTGAAGCAAAATCAGTGAAGTGTTTAAAGCTGTAATCGGACATTGATAGTTTGCATCTAACTATAAATCTAAGGATGGAAGGCAGGAAGATAATTTTAGTATTATTTTGCAGTTGTTCAGTAGAGAATGAACGCTGCCTTTCGCGTGTAATGTTTCTTCTTTTCTAATTTGGCTTTAGTTGCTTTTCACTGGGATTTTTATGATTGAACTTAACTGCTAATTTTGCCAACTGTTTATGTTATTAGCACTATGTATTTTTTGTTGCATGAAAGTATGATTGTTTTCTGCTCTCATCGGACATCAAAAACAAAAATGTTGATCAATTTATTTGAATTTTATTTTTTTTTAGTTCTCTTCAAATCTTATTTTATTTAACAGAATCAATGTGGAAAGAAAAAGAGGAATGCATTAAAATCAGACTAAGAAACAAACGACTACATTGACGACAAAAAAGGAAAGTTTTCCTGTTATTTTTCTTCTTTGTTTTATTATTTGTGACTTTCTGGCTGTATAAATCTACCATATATTATTATTGGTAGACGAAAAATTAGACGAGAGTGTTATAAAAAAAATTGATTTCATTTCTAGGGTTTATATTTTGTTGAGACCACATTACGGAGATCAAAGTTTTACAGATTGATTGTGGACTATTTTTCTGTATTGTTGTTGTTTGGACTGCTAAAGAATAATACAAGCTTTTTTTAGAGTTACACTAGAAGAATGTGAGTTGAGTGATGCTTCAAACGTTACTTGGGAGCTGTTTTTGGCTTGGTTAGAGTGTTTACTATGTAGTGCAGCTGTTGATTCTTCTTTTTTGGAGCTTGAAAGATCATGCTATTTATCTGCTACTGTGTTAACCGCTTACATAGCGTTGCTTACTGCAGTTGTTAACGTTTTTCTCAGTGTAGGAAGTTTGCTGATTGCTGAATTCATTTTGCTTCTTGATCTTTATTCCCTTAATTTGTTTTCAATCTGATCACAGAGATTCGGCGGAAAAAATTGATGACACTTTTGAGAAATTATTCCTGAACCACCGACTTTTTAAAAAACTTATGAGAGATGGAGATTCTTTTTTTCTTTTTTCAAGATGTTAAAAAAAATTGATGCTTTTTCTTTTATTCTTCCTCGTTTTGTTACTCTTCATTGGTCTAATCAAAAAGCGTTTCTTTTTTCCTGCGTGTTTTAAATGTGGAGGAAGGGTAGTGAGGGTGAGTTGATCACTGAAAGTCAAAAAACCCTTGCTGCGTAGGTAAGAGGGAAATTGATTGGCAAACAGGTCATTAATGGAAACTATTGGTAGCACTTTTTGGCATTTGACGTCTTTACTCGTAAAATATCACAGCACTTTTGCTTTGAGTTTTGTTCATTGGTTTCCGGTACGAAACAGTTATGAATCCATTTAAATAAGTTGGTGTTCTCAAGTGGGTAGGCCAAAAAACTGCTGTTAACAATATTGCAGTGGTGTATGCTGAGAAGTTCACTATGTAAAGGCGGCATTAAGTTCCAATACTGATTGCTCCATATGTTTTAATAGTGTTATTTTTTTCCTTTGCTTTCTTTCAATTTGCTTATTGATGGCCATTTCAAATGCAACATCTCAAACAGTTTCACTTCAACTTGGTAAGGAAGCTTGATATTTGCCGTTCATCTGTCTTGCTCCATAAATAATGCGTGATTTCGTTTACATCAAGCACTAAGTTGTAAGTGCTTGCCAAGTAAGGTTTCATTTGCCATCGGTATTCAATAGCATTAACTTTGTGATGATTAACCAGGTTTGAGACCAACTGTAGTTTAGGATTTGAGGTGTTATCAAGAGTTTTATGATACTGCTGCAACGTGGTGGAAGGTAGAATTGACCGCCGACTGCTCGTCAGGACCGTTGAAGGCAGCAATTTAAACGTAAGAAACTTGGCTCTTAATCTTGAAGCAACAAGTTTGTTTTTTTTTTTTTTTT